ATAATTAATAATATTATCTATTTATAAAAACAACAAATTCACAAAAGTATAATAAAAATTAAACAAAATATTTTCAAACGTAATAAGTCACTGGGACAAATTCAAACTTCGTATCTCCCATAGTTGGTTAGCAATTGATAATTATAAGTACTTTGGTACTAATATTATTATGATTCCTATCTTAAGTAGTGCTAGTAAGTAACAAAAACCTTTAACTGAAGTCAGAGCAGCATCCATTTCCATTGGGCTTTCATTACTCTTGTATCCACTTTGAATTTCTTGAATTTATATTGATTCCAGTTGCTGCAGAGCTTCAAGCTATGTGCCAGTCGGGCATCAATATAAACCCATAATCGAAACGCATGTCAGGATGCTTTTACTGCCGATTCTACTGTTATATGCCGGCTGGACGGAGCTAGTGCTGGCTGACAGCTGTCCGCCGTCGGAGGCCATCCTGCCCTGTCGCTGTTCGCTGCGCGGCAAGGAGATACAAATATGGTAAGTAGATGCAGCTGAGAGACTCACCTGGCTAAACGGCTGTTTGTGCAGGTGCTCGCACAGCAACTTGCCACAGATAATGGATGGCCTGAAGGCCGTGGAGCGGAATATCAAGACCCAAATCGATGAGCTGGTGCTGGAGAACAATCAGCTGCCCGCGCTGCCGGGTCGCTTCTTTGGCAACCTGCAGATCGTGCGGCTGATGCTGCGCTACAATAGCATCGAGCGGGTGTCCAATGGCTGGCTGAACGAGCTGGAGAACAGCCTGGTGGAGATATTCATAGTGGAGCCACAGCTGCGCAGCATCCCGGCCGAGAGCTTGAACGGCATGATCAACATGCTGGCCATAACCATACAGAGCGACGAGCTGAAGCACTTGCCCGACTTCTCGGGCCTGCTCAGCCTGACCTATGTGAGCGTGCAGAGCGCATCGCTGACGGAGCTGCAGCCGCACAGCTTTCGGCATCTGCCCAAGCTGCAGCACATCCACATCACGGGCGGCGCGGGTCTGACGCGCCTGGAGGCGGGCCTGTTCGATGGCTTGATATCCCTAAAGAGTCTGGATCTCAGTCGCAACGGTATCAACTGGATTCACCTGCGCGCCATGACGCGATTGCCTAACTTGGTCAGCCTGAAGCTATCGTATAATCAGATCAGCGATGTGGGCATGATTGGACGCATTGTGAAGGACCTGGAGCACTTGAAGAAGCTGCGCCTCGATCACAATATCATAAACGTCATCGAGGACGGCTCCTTTGTGGACTTGCCCAATCTCTCAGAGCTGCATCTCAATGACAATCGCATCACGGAGCTGCAGTACGGCGCCTTCCTGCGCACCCCCCAACTGAAGACGATTCATTTGCACAACAATTTGATACGGCGCATACATCCGGAGTCGCTGCTGCAGGCCTCTGGCAGCGGCGTGGAGGCCGTGCACATCTACAACAATGAGATTGGCCATGTGGAGGCGCTGCGAGCACTGCTTGACGCCTTGCCCACGCTGCGCTTCCTGGACATGAGCGGCAATCTGTTGAGCGAGCTGCCCTACGGGGCACTGCGTGGCCATGGCACGTTGGAGCAACTGCATCTGAACAACAATCAATTGCGCTCGATCGAGCGCGATGCTCTGATGGCCATGCCCGCTCTCCGGGAGCTGCGCATGCGCAACAACAGCCTCAGCTCGGATCTGCCATTGCCCTTCTGGAATCTGCCGGGTCTCAAGGGCTTGGATCTCGCCCAGAATCAATTTGTGCGCGTCGACTCACAGCTGCTGGCTGGCCTGCCCTCGCTGCGTCGCTTGGATCTCAGCGAGAACGGCTTGGTCGATCTGGCTGCCAACAGCTTTCGGCACAATAGTCTCCTGGAAACACTCAACATATCGTCGAATGAACTGACCCACATCTATCCGGGCACCTTCATGCACTTAGAGCGCCTCTTTGAGGTGGACGCCAGCTACAATCAGTTGACTGCTATGATTCCAGGACTGCCACAGATTGTGGAGCGCATATCGTTGCGTGGCAATCGCATCTCTTCACTGCCCCCTGCGGGCAGCAAATCCCTGCAGTTGCCCAATCTGCGCATGCTGGATCTCAGCCAGAATCTCATTGAGCAGCTGCCACGGCACGGCTTCCAGGCGGCGCCCGAGCTACGCGTGCTGAGTCTGGCGCAGAATCAGCTGCGTCTGCTGGAGGACACCTCGTTCATAGGCATACAGCGGCTGGAGCTGCTGCACCTGCAGGACAATCAGCTGAGCCAGGCGGATGAGCGTGCGCTGTTGCCACTGGCGGAGCTTCGCAATCTCAATCTGCAGTCCAATAAGCTGGAGTCCATCACGGACAACTTCTTCTCGAACAACAGCCGGCTGGAGCAGCTGGATCTGTCCCGCAATCTCATCCGCACCATTTCGCCCACCGCCTTCGACAATCAGCGCTCGCTGGAGTATCTGGATCTGTCGGGCAATGCGCTGCTCGACATCTCCGTGGGTCTGGGCAATCTGCACAGTCTGCGCGACGTGGATCTCAGCTACAATCAGATCTCGCGCGTGCATGCGGATGTGGTCAATGCCTGGCGCAATGTCGTCGAGATTCGCCTGTCCAACAATCTCATCGTGGAGCTGCAGCAGGCCACCTTCCGCAACCTGCCCAAGCTGCAGTATCTGGATCTGAGCAGCAACGAGATTAGCAGCGTGCAGCCAGGCGCACTCAAGAGTTTGCCGGAGCTGCAGGAGTTTGTGCTGGCCGACAACAAGCTGGTGGAGCTGAAGGATCACGTGTTCGAGGACCTGCCCTCACTACTGGCCTCCCACTTCCAGTACAACAAATTGAGGTACATCTCGCCAGAGAGCTTCCACCACGCCAACTCGCTGGTCTTCCTCAACTTGTCCAACAATCACTTTCGCAACATGGAAAACATTGGACTGCGCAGCATGCGCAACCTGGAGGTCTTGGACCTCTCCACCAATGGCGTCAAAATGGTCTCCACAATGCCACTCAAGGCGCTCAACTGGCTGGTCGAGCTGAAGATGGATAACAATCAGATATGCAGAATACAGGTGGGTCTGCTCTAGTGGACCCTGCTCCATATATATTTCTCCTTTAAATATGTTTGTCTCTTTCAGGGCTCTCCCTTTGAGACCATGCCCAGGTTGCGTGTTTTGTCCATGCGCAACAATCAGCTGAGAACCATCAAGGAGCGCACCTTTAGGAATTTGAGAGGCAACATTGCCATACTCGATGTGGATGGTAGGTCTTAGACTACTTCTCCGGCTGTGCTCATTCCATAAACTCACATTCGCCTCTCTCTCTCAGGCAATCCCATTGAGTGCAACTGTGAGATGCAGTGGCTCTCCGTCTGGCTGCAGGAGACGAATTTCCCTTACCCCGGTCCAAAGTGCAAGGATGGTCGCCTGCTCCGCATGGCCCGCATGGAGCGCAGTCTCTGCGCTGGCCTGGAGCTCTACAATGGCGGCGATAACAACGAGCGCACCGAGGCCAATCATCTGCCGCTGCTGAACGAGCACGGCGACGTGTTCCAGCGTGATCTGCCCGAGGAATTCAATGATGATTGCGACGCGTATAACGAGCGTCCGATGGTGGGGGATAGCGAATACTTTTACGAGCAGTATGTGGACTCCACGGATGTGCCGGAATCGACTAATGCGGTGGTCAGCAGCTCACAGCGACCCAAGCCGACGACAGCAGCTAATCCCAACATAGATCTGAACAATACGCTGCTGCATACCAAGTACTTCAATAGGCGACCACAGCCGGCGGCTGGTGCTGGATCTCCGTTCACCTTCTTTGGCTATCCGATACCCAGCCTGAGCCTGGGTCGCTTCTTTGGATTTGGCGAGCGTGGGCGTAAGCAGCGCACGGATCAGGATGATCCGATGCCAGCCACGCATCGCATGGCGCACATCAATTTGCCCAGTGGGCGTGGCAAGACGCGCATGTATCAGCCGAACAGCGCCGAGTTCGAGAAGTACCTGCGGGAGCAGCAGCAACAGCAACAGCAGCAACCGAATGTGCCCAACGCTAGGAATCGCTATGGCGAAACGGAGTCGACCACCAGCTCGGGCGAGGAAGCCGCGAGCAATGAGAGTGGTGCAGCCACCACAACGGGCGTATTTCGCACCACATTCCGAGAGCCAGCGAGCATTGAGCGTGGCGGCTTCCGACCCATTGTGCCGGCACACGTTGGCGGCTTCATGCCAGTGCATGATCCCCAGCAGCGGCGCGGTGTAGTGGAGCAAGTGAATGCCACGAGCAAACCACACCTGGAGCGGCATTTTGTGCCCATCGCCGTGCAACCGGAGCAGGCACAGCCCAGACCCAACCCAACGAGCGGCGCCGAGAGCAGCGAAACGGCCACCTACGAAGTCACCGAAGTGACACCCGATATAACCACTCAAATGCCAATCGTTAAGAGCACCAGACCCATGACAACAGGTCGGCCAACGTCATCCGCAACTACAACTACGACTACAACTAGTTCTACAACAGAAACGCCGATGACCAGCGCCTCCAGTGAGCAACAAACGGAGGATTCCCAGTACGATGATGAGGATCTGGAGGCGCAGTCAGTAACGCTGCTGCGTCCACCGAAGCTCTATCAGCCAACAACAGCGGAGACCATACTATTGATACCGCCACCCGAAGAGCACGTGGCACAAATCAAAAGTCACTCATGGGTGACGACCACGACAGAAGCCATCACTGACTATAAGGCCACACCCAGCAGCGAGCAAGTGGCTGATGCGCCTGCTCGCGGTACTGGAGCCACTGGCGTACGTACGCCTGGTGGACGTTCCACTATCACCAAGGTGTATACACCGCACCAGCAGCATCAGCAGCAATTGGTACAGCCCACAGCCGAGGAGTATCAGCGCACAACGCCCAGTGCGGACAATGAGAGCTTTGCCAGCGAGCAGCAAGTGATTTCCAGACAAGCCCAGAAGCGTACAGACACATTGCCGGATCTATCACAGGTCGCGGAGCGGACGGAGCGCAAGGATGGCATGGACTGGTACTATGAGAGCTTCAAGAAGAAACGAGATTTTACAAATCAAGCTACTGCGGTGCATACGCCTGTCAACAAGGAGGTGTTCTATGGCAATGTCCTGCCAGAATTAAATGGAAGCAGCAGTTGGAGTCAGCCAAGCAACCGATATATAATCCTACTGACCTTCATCTTGCTGGGCAGTCGATGAGGAACGTTGTTGGCAGTGTTAAACAGTTGTTTAAGTTGTTTTATAAGTTTATTTTTACAATTGATATGTATGTATATTAATCTATGTTGTATAATAAAATTAAAACATTAGATTCCTGAACATTCGCTGGGTCAACTAGGAGTGTACCTGAAAAATAAGTATTAATAACAAATTAGTTTCATATATTATAATTGAGGAAAATGCAATTCTCGTATAGCAATCAGATGGTAGTGCATTGTCTGTAAATTTCAACATTATTGCTCTGATTTGCTATGTAGTTATCATCATTAGAAAATATATGGATTTTTAATAATAGATCGAATGCTTACCTTTCAGCAGGGGTTCGGATGCCCGCCTTTTTCCAGCTTGCTCTCGGACAATTAAATGCGTACAGGACTAAAAGTAAATTTACATCAATTAGATATGCCGATTATCAAATAAAAGAGCTAGTTTTTTTTTATATTAAAATCAGATGGTAGTGCATGGCGTGCAATCAATATCAACATAATTGTTCTGAGTTAGTATGAAGATATCATCAGAAAATATAAAAAACGATCAGATATACAATTTAAAGACCACTTACTTTAACTTGTAGGTTATGTGTAACATCTACGTACAAAAATCCAAGTAAATTCCACGAGCAACTAAAACGAAACAAATATGTATAACACTTTTATATTTAAATACACTTTTACATTAGGTACAGCTAATTGTTATCAGTTGCTGGCTGTGGTTCTAGATATAATTCAACACAATTGCTCAGTTATTTAATATAATTTTTATCATCCTTGGAGATAATTTAATGTTATTCCTGAGAGTTGCAGACTCACCTCGCATATTTATCGCGTTGCGTAGAAAAGTTTCAAATTTCCAGTTCGACGCAAAAACCACGTGGTTCAAGTACATGCCTCAGTTCAGTCACCAAAGTCCAGTAGGCCAGCTCTTATATAGTGCAGCCAATTAAAAACGTTACAGTCCTCTAAAGACATTTTTGTTTAACGCTTTAGCAATTAATTGCAATTTATTTTAAAACTTGCAAGTAAATTATTAAAAGCAGACCACACGCTGCCGCTGCTTAAAGAGATTGAAAGAGAACGATGCTACCGGATGTTTTATTTTATTGACAGCTATGTGCAGTGCTACCATATCAGTATTATAAGCATACTCTGACAACTCTATACTATTTGGTAGCCCTGTGCGAGCTTGCCATATGAATTGGCGCAATTTTGGCAAACAAAACTAAACAAAATAAAAATAGTCTAGCAACGAACAAGGTAAATGGTCGAGTCAAGAGCAAATTCAAGAAATGAATACAGAGGTCTTCAAACACAATGGAAACACTTCAGTTGCAGTTCGATGACAGCTAATGTTCTCTATTGACTTTTGCAGCTCCAGCTACTTAGGCTACAATAATGACGACAACGACACCGACATTGCAGACGCGCATGGCATTAGCTGAAATACCCGATCGCCTAGAGGCACTACGTGTGGCGAATACACCAACAAATGCTAATCGCCGTACGCCTGATGAACCGACGCCGGCCACTACAGCCAACACGCCCAATGGTGGAGGCGGCGGTGGAGGACTTGGACTGCGTGTGGACAATGATATGAATGTGGCACAGGCACAGGACTTCAGCTTCTCGCCGCTACCCTCACCAGATGAACTAATCATACGGCAACGTGGGCGTCGTCGTTTCACAACGACCTTCTCGCCGGACAAAGTCAATGGCGGTGTCAGCGGGAACAGCAGTTCAATACGCAGTCCATTTCAGCGTACGCCTACGAAGAACCTGCAATTGACTAGTGGCATGATATTGCGCAGTTCGCCACGCAAACGATTGACCATGGGCAGCACACCACCCGAACCTACACCAATGGAAACATATTCACCCATCAAGTTGACCCACACAAAGCAACAGCTATGGCCAGGCACGCCCATAGTGAAGAAGCAGAAAATGGACGATCGTCCCGTAGCACAAACGAACAGCGAGGTGCCATTGCCAACGCTTCTGATGGGTCTATCACATCAACAACTTACTGACTTGATAATGTGCAATATAAAACAGGAAACTGCGGTGGCCACACAAAGTGCTGAGGAAAAGATTCGCGGTCAGCTGCCAACACCAGATATTAGGTAAATGATGTTTATATGAACTATTGACATATAATTTGTGCCTGAATATTTTACAGTTCGTTGGAGCAGGAGTTGCATTATGCCAAAAGGCTCATATTTAAATCTCTGCCTACGTCGCGGCTGTGCAAGAAAACGGATGCCGCTGCCTACTCAAAGGCAGCCATCCACCTGAACGAGTTTAAGCGAGTGCTGCAAACGCAGGCGAAGCGTTTGCACGATTCCACCCACTGGGATGCTCTGGTGGACTATGTCAGCATGGCCTGGCAGTGTGTGGCGAGCACGCCCAACTGGGAGAGCAACTCCCACAATGCAGTGCGCAGACAGTGCTTCAAGCTGCTCGCCTGCTCATGTTATGCGGCTATCAAGCACGGTGGCATGCGGCTGGGCCAGACGAGACTGGAGACATTGGAGCGCAATTTGCGTGAGTGGTCCAAGGACTACGAGGATGTACTGTCCTGCGTGAATGCACTACAGCGTACGCTGAACAGCCGCACCAGCTTATAAAGCCAAGAGAGGTGGTAGACTTTAAAATAGACCTAAGACCGACTTGCTGAACTCGAGGTTTAGTGGACCGTTTAGACTTAAGTATGCATCTCCGATAAGCGAATCCATTTGCCATTTTTGTAGCGGCATTTCAAGTTGCACACACCTTGAATGCATTGTTTTAAATTTTGTTTATATTCTGTGTTTGTTTTAATTTTCTTCTGTTTACATTCTGTGCACCACACATCATACCCCGATTTTGTTAAATACACATAACCGAGCGCATGCGTCAGCCACAGTTAATTTAGAGATTTAAACCTAAACAAATATAATCATTAACAACATAAATACTATGTACATGGTTATGCATATATACATCATATATTTAGAAATACACACTTATATTTATTAATGCTTATATATATTAATAAACAATTGCTCACCAAGTAAGTTTGATTCGTGTTTAACATTTTCAACTAAGTACACTTATAGATGGCTGGATAATAAATATGTATAGGACTATGACTACGTTTCACTAGATCGTACGCCACGCTTCGGCCCCGCCCAGAATCTTCAACCTAAACAATATTAATGCCTTCTGCTGTGCCAATGTAGTAAACTTAGTATAGCCAGCAGGCAGCTAAGCACGGGTTGTGCCCTGCTTAATGGAGCACTCGAGATGCGACGCCCTGCAAATTAGAGAAGAAATTGCATTTATTTTTGAGTGTATTAAAATTTATAGAATGATTATGAATTAATTGCGAACTTTGTGAAATAATTTATAAATAAAAAGTGAAAGTTGGTAATGACTATGCCAATGTCATTATTAGATTAGATAGATTTGAAAACTCTATAATTCGAGATAAGTTATATTAAACGTGTGATGACAATTCTAAGAACTATAAATAATTTAAAATTAGCAAATATTACTTCTGATAATATATAATTTGTGGACAATGAGCTTCTCTGAAGGACCCTTGTGACGAAAAAATGTCTGATGATAACACATTAATCCTACTTCCGCTCAATAAGTTAATTTTATATATATTCTCAGAATCACATGACTGATACATTAATCATATCATCTGGATTTTTCAATGCCAAATACGATTTTATTTATTTAGCAGATTAACTCTTATTTCATTATGAGTACGCACACTTAATATTTTGTTTATTTGCCTCGAACTGAAAACTTTGCAAGAGAATTTACAATAAACTTTGTGAAAGAATAATAAACATAGTATGTTAATTATCTTCAAAAATTTGATGATTTAAAACGATTCAATGATTCGTTGAGTTAGTTCAATTAGCATTATAAATTAAATCTAATTATCATTGATTTTATACGATTGCGCATGATGAAGATCATCTTGCAGGTCTATCCAGTACTATTTACATTATAAAATTAGCATTGCTTTGTTAATCTTCAACTGGGTGTGTATGAGTGGTCAGCGTTGGCTGCTGAGTGTTTATGTATACACGTTATACATATATAAGTATTTTATTGATCATGGATCTGCTGTGCTGCTGCTGTCCAAATACCAACTTGTTCCAACTCTTCCATAAACATTCCAATGGCACTTACACTCTCTGAGAAAAGCGGATACACAACAGCATTCCTTGACTTCCTCGAAGAAATAGCAAGAGCCTACCGAAGGCTTATAGATCTTCTCCTCCACAAAGCATTTATGGGCTTTATAGGGCAGACCCTCTGAAAGAAAGAAATAAACATTTTAATTCAAATGTAATTAAATTTTGTATATTAAGTTCTCTTATTTATTTTCAATGGAACAAAGTGCAAGGCTACTCATTCAATGTTTACACTTATTATTATCAGAATGTATCAATTGCAATTTTGTATGTTTATTATTGCAAAGAAAAATATATCAAATTTGGCGGGCGTGACTTTGGTGGCATTCAGCATATGTCTTACGTCTGCTGCAGTTCGTCAAACTAAACTTATGACATATAAAGCTGGTAGGGATTGCAAAATTTGTTTAGCAAACACCTTAAATACACCGAGTAATTTTATAGAAATCATGTAAACATTTTAAAATTTGTTTATGAGAAAATACGCAACGCGCTTTGATTGGCTAAACAAAAGCAAAGTCTATGGATATAAAATAGACATCTGGACATGGAACTGATTTTATATGATCAGCTGTCGCTGTCAGTCATAAACAAAGTCAATGCAAGCTGCTGCTACCAAAAATCAATTAAATATTCTAAATAAATTCTCAAAAAGCTAACGAGAAATAACACTTAAATTAATTTCATTTGGTTTTAGTTTTCAATATACATATATACATATATATTTCTATGCTGTGCTATAGCCGTTTTAAGTAGAAACGGAAACTAATAATATAGAATATATGTTTATTAGACGCTGCGCCAATATCAACAAATTCTTTGCCAAAACAATAGCAAACTAACCAAATGACTACAAAAATTCTTCAACTTTGGGGGCCATCATATCATGCCGAACTCTCGAATTCTGTTTACACGAATTGTTTATAAAAACTAAATGTGTTGATTTTCATAAACTTCCATATTCCAAATTAGAATAATGGAAACGAACTCATTGTTTCGCTAATGCTGATGCTGCWGCTGCGTGTCACAAATATTTATTCAATTATGTAATTATCTGAAATTTAATGCAAATCGATATGAGACTCACTATATCTACAATATATGGACAGACATATACTATGAGAAATTCGCTGATCGCAATGCTAATATATTGAGACAGCTGACACTAGCCGAGGGCATGACAAAAATTTCAAATTCAATGAAAATCGACTGATAGTTAAAAGAGCGGAAAAAATTGATATTGAAGTATTCAAAATGATTATGATTGATTATGATGTTGTCTGAACCAGAAACTCGTATTTAAATAAAAAGCCAGTTATTATATAGAGCATGTTTAGGCGGTATATAAAAAGCTAACTGAGTTAGGAGCTAACAACTGTACAATACCCGTTAATGGTGCAACAATGATTAAATAAATTTTCAATATATTCTCTGATTTGTTCCTTAGATTTATAACGCCTCCAATGCATCAGAGCTATGCAAAATTTTATACTGTTAAAACTATAGAATATATAAGACTTCTATGATTTGCCACGACCAAGCTTACAAATAGTATAGTAATAATAGACATTATATTCATATCTATTTATGTACATAGTATACTGTCTCCGAATGAGGTTACACACAAGTACATATGCCAAATTCCAAGTGTCTAGTCTCAGGGTTATAACCCATATACCCTCTTCTTGACTACATGAACGAGTATAATAAATAGTTTAATGATTCATCAAAGCGTCAACACTTAAAGCCATCAATTCAAAAATCTAATAAAATTTGTATGAATGCAAATTATTTGACAACTTTTTTTGCGTGTTCAAAATGTGCAAAAATAAAAGCTGAGCATATAATT